AGAGGATCTCTTCTATGAGCTTGGTAAAGACCTTTTAAGTAATGTTTAAGATGTATTAACTTCTCATACTCTTTAGTGGAACCGAGAGGAATATTGGTTAATTTCCATGTTTGAAATATGCTAATGTGATTAATATAATTTTCTACTATCTCTTCTGGCAATATTCCTAATTACATCATTGAGATTAATTTCTTTGCAGAATTTCGAATTACGTGACCTCCCACAAGAAAATCTTGACATTGCTCTGTTTCTTTTTCCATTGCTTTGATAAACTCTCCAGCTGGATCATCTCCCCTAATTTTTATTGGTACTTTGGTCTTACCATCACTACGTCTAATTATATAATCAAATGATATAACTTTGTGTTCTTGGATTGCTGTTATTTTTGATCCTTGATTTTTTTCAATAAGTGTAGAAAGAGTTTCTGCATCTGCTGTACAAACAAAAGGAGCATCTAACGTTCGCTCATATCTTCTGAATTTATATATATTCTTACCTTCTTCTGACATTACTGTTCTTTGTACTGGAGTATTAATTCCTTCGCAATCTTCCATGTGTTGTGCATCAATCTTAGGATCATGGGTTCGGTGGTTTACACAATAATCACAAACATATAACTTACCATTGTGCTTAGTTGTATATCCAGCTAATTTTCCTAATCCATCTCTTCCTTGGATCAAGTAATAATGTTGAGCTGGTTCTCCTGTTTTTGGATCATTTCCTGTTATTAATAAAAGTCGAATTAACTTGTGTGGTTGACAATCCTCTTCTTTATAATTGTATCTATCATGTATTTTGAATTTAGGTGTAATTCTGATAGGAATAAGTTCTTTTTCACTCCATCTATAAATTGATACAGATATACCTGGATTCTGTTTCTTGAACTTTTCCATTGTATCATTGTCTGCTTTTACTGAAAATGAGATTCTGTCAAAATTTAACTCTCCTATATATTGATTATACCAATTTGAATGTTCTCGATGATAAGGAGCTTGGTATAAATCAGCAAGGATACATCTTTCAAAACATCAGTCATCCTCATTTTTGATATTAATAATTCTATTATTTTGTTTTGGTATTCCTTTGGGTAATGGAAGATGAGAACTGGCTGTTAGTGGAACAAAGATTGGCATTTCAATATTTATTTCTTTTGACAATATAAAGACTCATCCCGAACCTTCTATTTCATATGTTTCTACTCTATTTTCTATATCCCAAATAAGCTCATCAACTATTCTTAATATGTCCTCTTTAGCGGTTATTACTACTGCCTTATTTTTGAATGGAACTTCTTTATAGTCCTTTTCATCTTCTTCATCTTCTGCAAATGTTTCATCCTCAAATAAACCTTGTTGATAATTTGTTGATCGGCTCATTTTTCCTGTGAGACATAAACGGGTCTTGAATCCATGTGTTAAATCAAAGTGATCATTGAAAATATTTATTATTTGTTCCCTAAGTGCATCGAGAGTATTGATAGGATCTTGTGAATATATACTTTCTTTTCCCATCTCAACTGAATAATGGTCATCCAATAGTTCGCATCCAGAACTAATAATATCCGTTTGATGAAATTGTGGAATAGGTTCTAATATCCCCAATGTTTTGAGATATTCTCTTTCAACTTGTGGTGTTGGAATAGGCTCAATAATTTCTGGAGGATCAAATAATCCCAATGCATCAAGATATTCTATTTCTGAATTAGGTGGTGGTTCAGGAATTGGTTCTGGAAGTGGTAGGTGACATGGATTTTTATTACTAGCATAATGTTGACGAAGTTTTTGTGGGGATGAAAGAGAAGAATCACAACAAACACATGTTATATTTTTTTTATCTTTTCTAGTCATGATATATAATTGTTTTATAATTTATTACTTATATAAAATCTTTTGTTTAAATAATTATTTCACTATATTAAAAAAAAAAAAAAAAAACTCTTTCCCAAAAAATTTAATTTTATTAAAATACGCAGTAAAATTATTTCGAAATTGTTTTTTATTTTTTTAGTTTTTATTTCTTTAGTCTTCAGTAAACTAACTGACAAGTATGAGCAATAGCTCATTCGTTAGAACTAGAAGGAAAGGTGTCAACTATGGCACCA